TATAGATCCTCTAGTGTGTCTTGAAGGTGTAGCATAACTATTGAAAACCTCGGAAAACTTGGGTCATAACAAAGTATTTGCCCTATATCAAGAAGAATATCTTTCACTCGAAGGATCATCATTTCCCCTCTTGGTCATCCTAGGACGATCGTAGATAGCCGTTATCCTACATATAATGTCTTTTGCATAAGTGTTGAATTCTTAGAGTTAACAATTTACCTTGCCTTTGTGAGTCCTTATAGTAACTCTTATGGTCATTAATCAACCATTCCCTAGTTTGCATGTTTCATACGAGCACTCTTATTTGCATTTGGCGTTATCAAGTTAGATTGACAACGTTAGTAGTAACTCAAACTCATCCACCCCAATATTTGTTCTCACACATATTTTTTTCAACTTGCTTTTTCTCAGGATGTCTATTGTCCGAGGGGTTGGTTATTCATTTCAATATTGAATGTTTACTTGTTCTCAAGGTTGATTATTTACTTCACCATGATTTTTTGTTTATTTTTCTTAAATGATTTAATACTAGTTATCTTGAACTTAGTTGATTTTGTCTAAGTCATATACCGTCATTGTATCTATCCATAAATAGTCAACCTTTTGAAACCTCACAAAAGGACCTAGAAAAGAAAAAAAAAGGGTTCATGAACTTATTACTTCATCCAAGCATGACTTAGGATCACACAACCATAACTTAGGAAAACACTTCATTTAACAAATAAAATGAGTATACGTTGCTTGTTTAGAATGGTCGTACGATAAATGATCCAAGTCTAATCCATCATGTGCAAAGTCCTAACATCAAGGATAAGTGATAAACCAACCATGGATCATATCTCATAACCTCATCCAATCTTATGCTACCAGGGGTTCTAAGATACCAAGATAGTTAATGTTTTTGTATTTCCTCTCAGCATAAGAAAATTCATGCAAATTATAGGTTAGAGGGTTTGAGACAATTGCTAGCAAACTCCATTCAAAAGTTTTAAACAACCAAATGATCTAAGAAAAATAAGGTTACCAAACCTAATACAAACCCCTTGTAAGGTATACTCAAACATAAAAGTATAGATGACTCGTTGATAATGTTTTAATATGGCAGGCCTATACGAACGGTTCATCAAAGACAAAAAAAAAAAACTAAAATATCACTTACATATTTCCTAGGTAACTTAATCGTGATCCACTGTAATCCCCTAACTTAAGTACAATAAGGAGATAAATATTATTATTTTCAATCAATCAACACTTAACCCATAGTATCTAGTCAACTCCTACAAGACATAGAATCTAGTCAACTCCTACAAGACACAAAGAGCATCCTGGATAGCCCACATGACAACAACAATCAAAGGAAATATTCTCTCTCATTAATCCAGATTACCAAGACTGTCCTATGTGAAGCAACTTTCTCAGGCATACCTTATTACAGACTTACTAAATGAAAAGCGAACTCCTTACCTTATTACAGAGACAGAAAAAAGAGAACTATAATGAAAGAGAGTGAACTCCAAGAACAATCTATTCGCTGTTGAGTTCCCCACTGTTCACAATCACCCACATGAATACACCTTGCAACTCTCTACTCCACAGGAGCCAATAACTTTCTCCAAGTACTCACCAATATATATGTGGAACACCATACGCTAACATCTACAGGGACTCTGCAGGAGAAGTCGGCCGTGAATCTTGGGAAGAAGACTGATGAAGACGAGAAGCGCTTCAGGGATCAGCGGAAGCGGCTATGGCGTATCTGCAGAGAGGGCAGAGATGGCTGCTCTCCAACCATCGAGTGAGACAGCCGCCATGGAAGGCGTGCATGCATGGCATCCGCGTCACCTCCACGCCCTCGTCGAACTCTTCGAAGCAGATCATGCAACTATGCTCTCGGACATCTCCTCCACGCTGATACTTCACCACCGCCAGCTCCTTCACCGCATCCGACGACGCCGGCACACCGCCGAAACCCCCACCCCCGCCGACGCCTTCGTCGAAAGAAGGCTCCATTCTGATCGAGTGGCGGTAGAAGCGTAGGCCGACGGTGATCTCGATCCCTCTGCCCATGCGGAGAGCCGACTCAACTGGATCATTGCAGAAGGCGAAGAGTTCTTCCTCCAACCGCCAAACGTCACGGAAACTATAGTCGTAGGTTCCTAAGCGAAAGAGAACGAAGGAGATCGCCTGGCGACGAGAATCATGCTGGAGGAACTCGCCGAGGGTGAACACGACGTAGTGGTAGGGGCACGGCGGTTCCTGCACCACTCGACCTCCACGAAAGTGCAACACAGTGTAGCGGAGCTTCATCACCACCGGAGCCGATAGCCTACACGATTCCGACTGCGGCCTCCCCTCCTTTAGCTTAGCAAAGAAAACCCAACCAACCCGGCCAGCACAATGATGACCCTCCATCGTCGCCTTCTTCTTCTCGCGCGCTTCCGCTATGTCATCTTGGTTTTCCTACCATGGGAGCGGCTTTATACGCATGCCGGTTTCCAAATCCGAAATGGAATCGAATTATGTTGGAAAACAGTCCTAATTCGAATCAGACATTACCAAATAAATTTGCCTAATTAGAATCCGACCAAAATCTCATCCCTAAATTTTGAAGGATCTGAAGAACTCGATCATTTATACTACAATCTTAGGATCGACTTCTCAAAGTAAAATCAGATAGGGTAGGAATCAGGCAAGTAGAGAGCAATGCATCATCATCTTGTCACAACTTTTTGTACTATAGCTAATTTAGTTGATAATAATTTAAATTAATTATATATATATAGTTTATTTGATTGATACTAACTAGTGTAATTATATTAAATATATATTTTTTCCGTGCAGTGTTTATCAGAATTACATTTAGATATAACTAATTTGTGGAATAATGATCCTAAATTACAAATACAAACCCTAAGATCATAGCTTCATAGAATAAGGAATGAGGAGAACTGCCATGTATTTTCTTTCATGTACATGTATATGCTGGAAAAGGTAGTGAGGAAGCTACGTTATAAGATGATGAAAGGAGATGTGCCAATTGTACTCACTACATCACCTATTCTCAAATCATAGTTTGTTCACATCAGCATCAGATTATGAATTCTATGGATTTATATATAAGAAATACGTGGGCGTGATTGGTGTATGTCCCAAATAATTTGTATGAAAGAGATAGAAAAAGAGAAAATATAAGGAAAGAGAGTAAACTCCAAGAACAATTTATTCTCTGTTTAATCGTTCACTGTTTACATTCACCCATATTTGCGGATCTCTACTCATATTTAAGAGCCAATTACTGGCTGGCTCAAGTCCTCACCCATGTATGGGGAACTATCATACAGCAAGAGGTTGTCCGTGAATCTTGGGACGAAGACCGATCGATGAAGAGGAGAAGTGCTTCAGGGACCAGCGGAATCGGCTATGGCGTGTCTGCAGAGAGGGCAGATGTGGCTGCTCTCCAACCATCGAGCGAGACAGCCGCCATGGAAGGCGTGCGTGCATGGCATCTGCGTCACCTCGGCGCCCTCGTCGAACTCTTCCAAGCAGATCCTGCAACTCTCCTCTCGGACATCTCCACCACGCTCGTACTTCACCACCACCAGCTCCTTCGCTGCATCCGACGACGCCGGCACACCGCCGAAACCCCCGCCGACGACGAAAGAAGGCTCCAATCCGATCCAGTGCCGGTCGAAGCGGATGCCGACGGTGATCTCGATCCCTCTGCCCACGTTGAGAGCCGACTCAACTGGGCCATTGCAGAAGGTGAAGAGTTCTTCCTCCAACTGCCTAGCGGCATGGAAATCACGGGCGTAGGCGCCTCCGTGAAAGAGAAGGAACGAGATCGCCAGGCCGCGAGATTCATGGTGGAGGAACTCGCCGAGAGTGAACACGTAGCAGTGGTAGGGGCACGGCGGTTCCTGCATCACTTGACCTCCATGAAAGTGCAACACGGTGTAGTGGAGCTTGATCACCACCGGAGCCAATAGCCTACACGATTCCGACGGCGGCCTCCACGCCTTCAGCTTAGCATAGAGACACCAAGCAGCAGTGTCAGCACAAAGATGACCCTCCATCGTCGCCGCCTTCTCGCACTTCCCGTCCCAATGGGAGCAGCTTTATTTATACCCATGCCGGTCTCAGAATCCGAACGGAATCGGATTGTGTCGGGAGTTAAGCCTTAAATGGAATCGGACATGTAGTTTCCGTTGCCACGTAAAACTTGCGCCTTGGATTCGGAATCGGAAACAGTGTTGATGAGATCCTACGGAAAAAGAACTTTCATACAGTGAGGTGAGCTCATATCATATTGGCCAATACGGTGTCGATACATCAGACGGTATGCTAACTTAATATCATCGAACGTGCTGTGGCTAAATCTATGAATATTCATTCCTTGTACTTAATTTTGATAAGAAAATGGCAGAACCTCAAATGTTTTGTTACTTGAGAATTCTGTGTTTCCCCTGCTTTCAGAATTGACCACTCACTGTCGCTTTCAAGTCACACTCTGCCTGCCTATGATAGATCCTCTACGACTGACTGTATTCAGCAGTGTCTGCCATCTTCCAACATCTTGTGACAACTTAGTGATCAAGAAAAGTGATCTATTATCTGCAAGCTGAAAATATAATTTCTGGACCACACTTATCCAAAGCTGGTAGCCTCATCCAAAACTCTCTCCTCGGAAAAGGATATTGTTGGAGGACCCGCTTGCCGCAAGCTTCTCCTCAACAAATGCTACACGATCACCAACGTTTCCTTCTGTTTGTTCTTTCTCCAAACTATAATATCCTTCCCAGACTGGCCATGAAATGCAACTTCTCACCAGCTTTTTCTTCCAGGAACTCAACTCATGCACACACAAATGGTACATGATAATGTGTTTGAAGAAAGGGTTTCAGGTACTCAACTCGTTTCAACTGAAACGATACATGATAGTGTGTTTTGTGGAAAGGCAAAAGGCAATATAATTACTCGAACAACTCATGTAAACCATGATATACCGAAACAAATAAATAAATAAGCATAGTATTGTTTGACATGGTTAAGATGGTAGATTTCTCAAATCTCAAATGACAAATATAACAAATTATAGTAAACAAGTTGGAAGTTGTACAAACAAAAAAATGCAATCCTACACACTGACATATAGGAGATCACACGAGAGAGAACACCTGGACATTCTAATATAGTCGGGCTGCTCTTCTCATCGAAAACAAAGAGTTCCAACTGCTGACATCTTTAATAAGCCCACGGAGACTAATTAAGCTGCGGCCTAGCCGGTTGCTGGCAGCTTCCTCCCTGTAATGAACTTTGGCAGCATCATTAAGGTATTCACTTGGCACAAACTCTCTAGAGCAGAGCACCCCCGTCATCACCCTGCACTCAGATGTCACTGCAGCAGGAGGTTCTTGACGTGACTGAGATCTAGACATGGTCTTTTGTAGCTTCCTTATCCTGATAGTTCGCAGTGCGAGCTCTGATCGTGCCAGATTGGTTCAGACAAGTTGGCCCTGCAGGTTCTTGTTTGTCGTGGCCAATCTCGATGGCATCCAGTGGTAAACCAACTTCACTGGCCTTGGCAATGGAGGCATCATTGGATGAATCTATACCAAGGAAGAGGCAGACCACAGCGCAGTCATCAATCTTCGAGGTTGGATACTTGAGCTTCCATGCCCTAACTGCTGATTCAACAAGAATACGAGCCGCGGAGGACCTTGCAGAAACAGTACTGACAATCTTTACCACCTCTCTGTTGGACAATACATCCCAGACCTGACATAATGTGCAAAAGCATTAGCAGTAGCAAAGTCATGCTCATTCGGAAACTATAAAGAGGCCATTCGACAATAAGTTCTTGGTGTTTTGGTTGGCTGCTACAGAAACAGAGAGAAATCATTATCCATCTTACCCCATCAGTAGCCAAGACGATGAACTCATCTTTTTCTGTGATGCGTCTATATGAAATCTCTGGCACAGAAATCAAACCAAAATTCTTCAAACAAAAATCCCCCAAGGCTCGTGCCATTGCCAATCCAGGGGAGTCAATATTAGGCAGCCATACACGAGCCACCTCTGGCTCACCCCGAAGAGCAAAGACACGGCCCCTACAACGCCTAATTCTTTCTGCTTCCCCTGTCAAGAAAATCATAAAGTTTAACATTGAAATTGTAGTCCATTTGAGAACATTTAAAACCAGTAGCAAAGTGGTTATAAAAACATTCAGAAATGCTTATCCATCTGAAAATTTGACTGAATAAAAGAAAATATCTAACTAGAAGAACAAAAAGAGCAAGAACATTGGTTAGTTACATCCAAACATATATTTAGCAGTTAGCTCAAGTACCAGATCCATTTTTTGAGGCAGTAGAAAAACTCATTTAAATATTTGAAGAACAACAATGTAGCACATCATAGCTCTGAAACAAAATATCTCAAGTTAAAAGAAAATTGTCCAATGTTCATTTCAGCAAGGTGAATTTACATACAGAAAAAAAGTTTGTATACTCTTGAATAAGAAATAGGACTTCAGAAGCAAAACCAAGCATGGACAAGAATGAAGTTCACCATATAGACACTAAGGCTATCATTTACTTTAGGTACATACACAAAACTTCACTACAAACAATGACAAATTCTTTCCAACAGTAGTAATATTAGTGCAAATAGCAGTCTACATTATTCTAATGTTGAAAAGGTTATGTTAACAAGTTACCAAATAAAGTTTTATGATGCAACTGACTTCAATATCTTGTAGAAACAAGATATCTTGGCATCATGCACAGGTACAGTTTTTGTGAAATCAAAACACTTGGTTGTAGAAAGGCATGATTTTGCAACAAAAAGTCATTGTAAGATTGGTCGCATTTCATTTTTTTGTTTCCTACAGTATGAAACTCATCAAACCTAATCTGCATCAAAAGGGCTGCTATTGCAGTATCTCAAAAGATTAATCTGCATGACTATAGTACCATTCAAAAACAATCTTCACAGACTAATATGGAAAGTCAAAGTACTTAGCAATTTACAGTTCATGTGTTCTTCCATTTAATGATCGTTATATTGTAATAAGTCAAAAAAAGAAAAAAAAAAAACTGAAATTGGATATAACCAGGAGAACATATTATTAGTATGATTTTTCAGACAATGGCACTAGGTGATTGTTTCCTAGATAACTCATAATTGAAAAGGATTAACTAAGGTGGTAACATCATCTCATTAACAAGACGATAAGACAACAAGATGGCAACTCGATTATTTTCAGAGTATAGAAGTTTAATTAATCAAACAGAAAATCATAGTAACATTCTGCATACTTTCCTTCAAGGAAGCCATCATAAGTTTATCGAAATTGTCAAAGACAATCAACAAGCCCAAACTATCCCCAGAAACACAATGTTGTATCCATGTTCTACCATCCTTACCTACTAAATGCCAACACTTCAAGAATTCATGTTTTCATATTCTTCTATATAGCCTTCAAAAGAATTCATGTTCTCATATTCTTCCATATTGCCTCAAAAAATGTATCCTTTTGGCTCTTTGTGACTGATCCTTCTGAATGCCTTAATGGAGCATCATGATGTATATTCTTTGCAGTATACAATCATCACGGAGCATAAATTGACCTGAACTCGGTGGAGGCAAAAGATGCTAAATATGAAGTGGCATTTTCAAGCTTTAAAAGCTTAGCAAATTCCTAAGACTTCAAATTTCCTTTTATTGAAAGCATTGGTTCCCTGCCCTACTAAGTTGCCTTCGATAAGACAAGTGTTTACCTGGATTATATATCAAAGCAAAACCCTTTGTCTGAGGGGGGTGTTAGTGAAACCCTTTAATCACATCAGAAGGCAACAAATAAACTATCCGACACAATGATTTAAAAAGTGCTAGGCGCCAAAAGGCACCAAGGTCCAAAACTGCCTGAGGCGTTAGGCGTTAGGCGTTCGCCCAAGCAAAACGAGGTGCTAAAATATCAAAATATATAATATAATTAATAAATATAATTATTTAAAATAAAAATATGATATTAAATTAAAAAAATCTTACATACTCACAATATCACATTAATAAGAAATCTTAAAATTCAAAACAATAACAATAATTTTAAATAAATAAAAATTAGCAGTATTAAAATCAAAATAATATATTATTAATCTAATAAATAAAAAAATATTGTGGCGAGCAGCGACGAGTAGCGATAGTGACAGTGGCAGTAGCGGTAGTGACAACGTCAACGCAACGGGGGTGCAGTGTAAGATTAAGACTGAGGCTGCTAACTGAGAGAAGCAACAGCGGTAGCAGCAAGCAACGGCAGCAGGAGTGAGAGCAACGATAGTGGCAGCGGCAGCAACGACGACGAGCAACAACAGCAACAACAAGCAGCAATAGTGGTAGCGGCAACGGAGAGCAGCGACAGCAAAGAGAGGCAACGGTAGAGAAGAGAGGCAGCGACAACAGAGAGGAAATGTCAACGACAGAATCACGAGCAGGGTTAAGGTTGGGGAAGTCATGAGAGGGATGCTGGGAGGCTGATATCGGTGCTTCAGTTGGTTCAATCGGTGCTTCAATTGATTCGATTGAACCAACTAAAGCATCGGAGACCAAACCAGTGCTGATATCGATGCTTTAATTAGTTTAATTGAACCAACTAAAACATTGGAGACCTAACCAGATGTAAAACACTAGTTCGGTTACCCAGTTTAACCTCGGCGCTCGTCCGAAGCGCACGATGCCTGGGCTCAGGCGAGCACCCAGGTGACGCCTCTTCGAAGTGAGGCACCTGGACATGAAGCGAGGCGCTCGGGCGCTCGCCTCGCCCATATTAAAATCGCTGATCTGACATATCACTGACATGGTCAAAACAGCATATTGTGGCTCTACAGCTAACCATCATATATAAGTATATAACTATTCACCACATTGTTAACAATACCCCAACAGAAGTAGCGACAGATTAGCCATCTCATCCAACCCAAATAGAAAGCTGATCATGAGGACTAGACCGTTGCAAGGACTTTGAACTACAAAAGGGAACCCCTTGTAAGGTAGAAAGGACTAGACTCTCTTTACTCTCGAGCTTTGAGCTCCTCGAATGCCACCTCAGATTATTCTCCAACTTATATTGTGTTCTAAGGTGAGCATTAGAAGACCTGCTGGACACACTCCTAAACCCTCACTATTTTGCAGTATCCACCTTGAATCACCTAGGTGTACATTTCATCTAATTCAGAGTACCTTACCTCGACTCGGTTGGCACCCTCAACTCATGTTACCTCGATTCGGATGAACACTCAAATATTAACCACCTTGGATATTTGATATCACATGTGTATATAATCCACTTTAGCAAAGAAAGCCAAAGTCAACTCTTATAGTGTATCAGTTCAGTTTGGTCAATTTGACCTTAGGTCAGTATTTTTGCACCTTGGACTGGAGCCATCTCAGAGCTGTCTTTGATTCGCACCTCGACAACTCAGTTTGAGTCACCTTGGTACATCAGTTTGGTACCCCAGCATCTTGGACCTGATATACCTCTGATTCTCACCACAAACTCGGTTCTGACTAGGGGGACCATAAATAGAAAAGGCAAAAATGGTCATCAAGGACTTTGGATGTCGGAGCAACACACTAAATTTTTCTTCCCCACCTCCCCACTGCTACTAGAGGGGGTCATCCAACCAAATGCCACCTAGTAAGGCATGTTTTCCACAAAAAGATGTGATTAACAGAGTTACCTTCATTTGTAGTACCAATGGAGGTTAGCGACACAGGCGCATTGGATAATTAGAGTATCATCCCTTTAAATGATAGGCATATAAATGTATAAAAATAGATCCAGTATAGATTTAAACATCATAAAAAAGAAGAATAGCCAAATCTACAAACAAATGTCAAAATGGAATATATAGATGCACATGCCTGTTTGCATAGGTTTGTACATATAAAAAATGCATTAGCATTCTTAGAGTAAGAATAAACAAAAGACAAAAAGACCATACTGGGAAGATTTGGTTTAAGATCCACAGTCAACTGGACTGCAACCAAGGTGTTATGTTGATCTCTTGTGCCTAATACTGCTCTTGAGTCTCCAACATTTCCAATGACAAGATCTTGACCCTATAGATGAAGGAAACCCACATTAACAACAGAAAACAGTAGAATTTGTTTTGTATTAACTAGAACTTGTCCCGAGATGCTTCATCAGTTCAAAAAGAAAATATGATAGGAAGCTAATGACTAGTAGCCAACCTGCTTGACCAAAGTAACTGCTGTTGTCCCACTGTAAAAGCAATCGATATCTGGATGCAGTCTCAGTTCTTTATCCACTATTCTAAAAGCCTTTAGGAATGAGTCTTTCAATATTGTCAATGTTTCTGAATGCTTGACTCTTTCTTCAAAGCCAACAGAAGCTTTGGATTCTTCATTGAGGTTCATAGATGAAGTTTCCTCTGAATTCATGCTTCTGGTACTGCTGATATTGTTCTCTCTGCATTCATCATTACCTATATATACTTCCCAACTGGCACGCAGCTTTAGAGGGAGAATATCTCTCACTTTCCTCGCCACCTTGTGGCCATTTGGACCATGACCATCAAAAACTCCACAAAAAACAGTATCACTTCTATCTCCAAAATTCTGCATATGAAAGATAAAATTGTCCACAAAACATAAGATGATGCCATTTTGTAGGCAGAAAATTTCCAAAACAACTAAAAGCAGGAAGCAAGCAGAAAAGGCATATAACATGTACTTTATGTGAAAATAGACTGTGTCAAAGTTTGGTAAAGTAGGAAGAAGAAGCAAAAAAGAAACAACAGGACCATCCCACAGTCTCAGATGATGATAGTTTCAAACCAAAGCACTTGCTGTATTAAAAACTTAACTACAACACAAGTACTATATACAAATAATTTATAGTAGTTGATATTGTATAAGCATATAATTGCCAAAGATAAATCTTGCCGGACTAATATCCAATCCAAAGTTGGACAAGAAAATAATCAGATGTGATCAAAAGATGACAAGAAAATAATAACAAAGAAGCCATCAGATAAGTTGAATCTCCATTCCATAGGAGATACTGCATCTGCACAGCAAATACAATAAGAAAAGGATCCCTACAAGATCCAATTGAAGGATTTCCATGGGAAAATGTAAATATCAAGAGGCTTTTTACGGTGCCACAAACATCAAAAACATATCCAAACATTCATAAGGGTCCAAATGTTCGAATCCAAATAACACAGTGAAGAAATCAGACAAACCTCCCACACGAGCATGGCGTCCTGGTTGATCCCCTTCCTGCCCCGCTGGGTGAAGAGCGACGCGGCGCTGGTGGCGCCGTTGAGGAACATCTTCCCAGGCATCCCCTGGATCTGCTCCTCCTCCGACAAGTTCGGCGGCCGCCTGGTCCCCGACGCCGGGGACGCCGGGGACGACGGGCTGGAGCCGCCGCTCTGTCCGTCAGACGGCAGGCAGGAACCCAGCGGAAGGGCCCTGACCACATCCAATATGCACTCCAGTGCAGCCAGGCAGCGGAACCAAACGTTCCAGTTTGGCGGATCCGTCGAAACCCCCACGAAATACACGCCCCGCCCCCGCTCTTCAATCCAACCACTACAACTTCGTCTTCCCTCTTTATACTATTTTCTCGATTGACCACTTGCAGAAATCGGGATTGACAAACTGCATATGGAAACAACAACAAACAAAGAAAACCGCGTATGCATATGTATGTATGTTTACATTAAGGGAAGAATCCGAATCTTGAACGATGGATCATAACAAAAAGATGGAATTTTTTTTGCAGCAGTGTGCGAAATGTGTTCTTGCAAGAAAAAAACGACTTTCTCGAAAGGAGAGGGAAGATGAGGAGGAGGTGGTGGTGGTGGTGGTGGCGGCGGGGGTGGGGGGGGAGAGAGAAGGGATCAGGATTGGGGGAAAGATCTAGTCCGAAGATAATTTATTGGAATCGTGAGCGAGGATAGAAGGAGGAGACAGATTCCGTCCCGTTCCCCTCCTCCCATTCTTCTCCTCCTCCGTCGTCCAATTCCGTGGCTCCAACGCCTCCTTGGTTCCCGTTCTTGTCTCCTCTCTGTCTCTCTCTCTCCCCCGCCACCCCCTCTCCACCCCCCCCCCGTCTTCCGTGGTTACTTGTATTATTATTCCCAGGGTTATCTTCTTTGTCTCCAAACGCAGAATAAAAAATATTACCTATTTTTTTCTTTTTTTTAATCCTATTTTTGGCAGATTAGTTAGTGTCGATTAGCTGGCTTGTTAGGGAACTCCTGCTCTCGATCCGGACCGAGTCACCCCGGGGGATTCAAGGGTGACGCCACCTCCCGCACCCATCTTGCGCGTGGGGCCCAGCCCTCCGAACGCCGCAACAAAATGGCTCGTTAATATTCGATTGATAGGTTCCCTTTGATTTTTCTGATCATACGATGTGATCAGTTTAATCTACTGAAATAAATTGTGATTCATAAATATATATATATATATAATATAAAATTATTTTTTTAAAAAAATTATCTTCTTAAATTATTGAATTGAATTGTAGACCATCGAAAAGATTGAGTAGGAAATGTGAATTACTGTATCGATGAAGTAGGTGATGTTGATCGGAGATGAGTGAGTTCAAAAGAGTAGTTGGGAGAAGAAGAAGGAGGAGGAGGATGAGAGAGAGGGAGAGAAAAAGCTGACATCCTTCTCTAAATTGATAGCTTAACGAAGGAGGCTACCACATGTTCACAAAGTCAAACTTATGCTTTTGTGTTGCCTCACCAATTGATTCCATGGATAGAGCTTATTTGCGAGTCTCCTTCGATTGGACGAAAGCTATGGGAAAAAGATGTAGAGATATGGCATTGTGGTCACAACATTTTTGTTTGATGGATAACTAATAGAAAGTTAATTACAGAATTAATTAAAGGTAATAGATCTGACAATAGATTTTGCATGAACGAGAAGTGTGTGCCATAAAAGATTGAGGAAAGATGGTAGAATTACAACGGAGTGAAAAGTTCAAATTTATGACAACGATTAGTCCTCCTCGAGCTACCATCGGCTACTGTGTCACGAGGTTGCTTGTCCATGGAGATATTAAACTAAGTGGCCACAGAAACAAAATGTGAAACACGTTTGCAGAAACAAAAAGGTTAGAACGATGGATGGAGACGATGATGATGTCCAAGAAAGAAGGCTTTTCCTTCAATCAATAGCCAAAACGTGAGATTTTTTCTCTTTTCTTTTGCATGGGACAACTCGCTGCAAAGAATCAAGAGCCCCATTTCGTGGCTTGTGGATGGATAAGCATGCATTGGTGGGTGCAGCAAGGTTGATCTTGTTCTTTGGTCGATGCAAAGGGATCTCAAGCCAAAAGCCAGACCAAAAAGGCTTTTCCTTTTTTCATGTTTTACTTGGTCTGAGTTGGTAGAGTGTTGTCCTTCTCAGTGACTCGATGGCACCTTCTCGTCCAAATAATTGAGATTTCTTTTGTGGCGCGCGCACACACACACACACACAACAGTGATAGATTTTCCATGTGAGTGCAGCACAGTCGGTCACCCACAGTGAGAAAGAAAACGATGTGTGTGTTGTTTATTCATATGTTTACACAAGAAGAACTTGCCATGAGCTGACTAGTTTTCACCGAGAGACGACACAGCATAGTCCCAAAACCCATCGTCTGAGTTACTGTCTGTCTGCACTGCGACAAGAACATCAGAATATTGCTTGTGGTGTCAAATGATCAAGTTCTTCACTCGTGCACGTTGCGCAACATAAGTGGAATGATGATGTGAAACCAAGAGAAAGAAAACAAGCCCTTGTCGACGGCCACTCCATCACTCGCAACAAGCATTTCCTCCCTGGCCATGGAGAATACTGTGTGGTGCTGGTAACATGAAACGTCGATAGAACGGCTAGCTATTCTGTGGTTCCTGCTACTCTGAACAGGTCAAGGGTGTCCACAATGCAAAGGAAAGCTCTATGGACGACGAAGCACGCACCGCACTGTCATGCACTTGCTGGCTGGCTGCGTCTCAGTGGCGTCGTGATATGATATTGACCACTCGATTGATTTGTTGAATAAACATTTCTTCACGCCCTCCACGAGCTTCCTTAGCCATCAAATAAAAACAAGTGCTACTATACGTGCTACTATTAATCTGTGATTAATTCGGTCGAGGGATGAGGTAGGGTTAGATGACTTGGGGTGTGGGGTTGTTAGGTTAAGTAACCATGGCAACCTTGCTCCCATACAAATGACACCACCATGAATGATAAAGAATCCACAACGTGTTACACAAACTTCATTCTTTGCGGTGAAAGTGGAATCCGACATTTTTATTAGTGTTTTGTAGTGAACGTTTAGTTCGAAGCAAATTTGGCTCAAACTTCTTCATGTCTTTTATTCGATCTCAGCAGAACAACAAGAGTTTTAAGAGATTACTGCGTGCATGTGATAACAAAGCAGCATCGATTCCACTCCAAAGATATTTGTTTCTGCACCTCATCAGTGAACTCCATCATGATGTTACAGACTTCTTTCGACGACGAGACAGATCCTGAAACCAGAAACGATGTTGATGAAGCTTGAAATGGTTTGAAGTTGAATTTTGCAGCCCTCGGTTTTCCCATGAGACATGTTGCGTCTGAGGACATGAGCTTGAAAGAAGTTGAGAAGCTGGAGTCAGATGGAGAGCTGGCTGCGGGTAGACTCCAGGACGACAAGAAACTGAGATGATGACAAGCTTTGGCCAGATCTGATGACCCACTTAGACCTGCATTTACTGCATGCCGACCCCTCAAACACGCAGCAAATTAAGCTCGTTGTCGTCCTCCAACACAAGCTGCAACAGCCTGGCTGCATCCAGGTTTCGGTGCAAGTCAAAATTGCGCAGAGAAAGAGTCTGAAACAAGTCCACAGCCATGTGCGACAGTGCACATTGTTGTCTTGCTTGGGACTCCCACGGAGAAGAAAGGAGTTCCGTGACGGGAGAAGCTCCACGAAAACCAATAGCTACGTATCAAAGTTGTCAAGGAGATTTTAACTGTTTCAGAAAAGACAGATTCCAAAAGACCTTTATTTTGTGTTCTAATTTATAGTATTGCCTGGAGAACAGTATGTATAGTACAAGACACTGTTTTCTTCGTGCATTGTTTTTAAGTACTATATATAATTCATATATATAATCATAAAATTATTGCTATAAAATTTTTTATTAGAATATTAATGATACTAAGGGGGTGAATTATTGCTATAAAAAAATTTTAATCGATCTTAAAGTTTAATCATAAAATTTATCTCAAAAATATGATTAATTCAATATTGAGTACGAATAAAGTTTGTAAGTAAATTGAATAATGATATTTTAGTAATCACAAATAAAATTCATAGAAAAAAAATGCGAATTGATTTATATTGATTCAATCTTTCTGACTTATATCCGCTCTGACTTATATCGTTTTTTTAATGAGTAAAGATCAATTACTCATATTACAGTTTTTTTTTTTTACATGTCTAAAAAAAAATCTACACACTTACTTTTTTACAAAAGATCTTTCTTGTATTATAATTTAATATCTTAACTAAATTCAAAAGGAAAGAAGAGACTCAAATAATACTCAAAAAAAGAGTTATAATAATTTACAAACTCTGATATAGATACATCATCAATCAAGCTCAAGTAAGGTATTTATATGCCTCAAAAGGTTATAATAATGGAGCAAAAAAATTAAGTCTCCAAAAATTTGAGGTATGGGTGGTATTATCGTTGACATTAAATGATAATGCCATTGTAATTTTTGACATAGCAATTCTGGACTTTGGTAGTACTATCATCGAAAATTTTAAATTTTGGGTGGTACTACTATTGCCTTGGGTGATACTACCATCGAAAAGTCTAACAAACAAAATTAGTACTTATTAGTTAACTTAAACGATACTATCGCCTGGGCCTAGTGGTACCACTACCCAAGCCTGTTTTAGGTTACCAATTTGACCTTCTAAGAGGCCTAATATGGTCTAGCTTCAAGCCCAATGATTATTTTGATAAGTTTGATTTCTGGTGGCTCGATGTCTAATTTTCAATGTGATAAATTTTTGATGTAATGTCTGACTCTCCCATTTGACAATTGACCCTTCGGTGATCAAAGTCTATGATTGAAATATTTCTTAGGTTACTTATCTAAAAAAAATATTTAGTCTAATAAATTTATGATCTCATCATCAAAATGTAGGATTCAATAATATATACCGACATCACTTTACGAGATTTTATGACATGGATCAATATGTGTACCATTTACTTCACGGTAAGTTGAAATTTTATGAGATTTAAAACTTTTAAAAGCAATTATGGTAGTAAGAATACGAGGAATATATTAGATATTATATATTTTTACAATTGTTAACCTAAACTAGCCAATGTTATTCCGATTTTTTTGGATGGGTATTACACAGCAGGAGTATATGCAAACATTTCGATACAAAGGTATATTCTATATTAAGATTACAAGGATAAATCCGTTATTTTCAAACTTGGCGAGGATATATATGTAAATAAGGCCTCTGCTATTTTAGAGACGCAAGTGCTCCGTCACAGATGAGATTTGTGAGGGATAGATTGGATCCAATGTGATGACGCATCGAAATCAAGTAAAATCAATCATAGGGACAAAATTTCTCGGATAATATCCATGCAAATTTGTTTTTATATCCAATCATAATTGCATAAATGTGTATCTTCAATCATATGTATTTAATAGTGTCAAATTTACCTTATGTTTAATAGTAACAGCCTAATACTCCTACCAATTATTAACGTACAAATTGTGATGCAAATGGAGACCGCTGAACCGGTGCCCGTCGCTTGGTTCGAGTCGGGTTAATCGAACCGACAGAAGCACTATCTATTAAGTCGACCGGTCCGGAGCCATGTTAGTTGGACCGGAATCGGTTCAGCTTAAATCCACGGGTTGGTTCGTTGCCTGCATTACACGAGCCCTAATGCCGCCGACTCCACCCGCCCTCCGCGTCATCCCAAAACCCTAACTCGGGCGCCAGAAGCCTATCTTTGTTCTTCCTGCCGCCCGTTCCTTTTCTGGGATCGGCTGCGGCGAT